GGGGGGTTTTCTATGTAATTAATGTAATAATAGATTGAATCAATGCCCCTGAAAAACATGGTATATTAATGGACTGAAATTTATTGAAAAAGACATTTAAAACATGTTTATCACATTAAAAAAAAAAATTTTTTTTTAAAAAAATAATTTATAATCCAAAATATCAATACCCACTGGAGTTAGGCTACTAAATATTACCTCCGAATTCTCTGATAAAAATATAATCTACAATACATGTGTAATAGAAGTCACTTGGAAAAAAAAAGCATACAAGGCTAATCAACACAGAATTCCTTTTACAAAGGCAAAAGTTTCTTCATCAAAAAATGATTTTTTATTATTGTAAATCTGTTGATTACAAGTGGGGTTTGCAAAGCAATTAAGCAAAATTTATTAATAATAATTGTAGTTAAAATGGATTGATATTACGATGAAAACAATAAGTGTTTTATTTTTTCTTGTAAAATTTACATTATAACGATTTTTTCACCAAAAAAAAAAAAATACTTTTAAAGGAATTGTTCATTTATAATCCTACAACGTAGGCCTATACTGCCTATACTATTAATATCTTAGTTACCCGTGTTTCAATCCACAAATATTTTTTCTAATTGATGAAAATTAGGCTGGATTTTTTACAGATGCATTATATTTTGAACACATTGTAGAAGTAATTGAAATAATAAAATTCTACTATGGCATGGATTCTTGATTGAACACTATCGTTCACTCTTTGGCTTGTACTGTTTTTCGTATGGTTGCTAATGTCTAAGAGCATAATGATAAAGTTTCCGAGCCTACCCCCCCCCCCATTTAATAAACATTCAAAACCTGGATGTAATTTGTAAATCTTCAATTTTTTTTTTAAAGAGAAAATTGAATTTTTTAAAAAAATTATTAACTTTTTAATAATTCACAATATTAACTTTAAAATCAGAAGAGTTTTTATTTATTTTATGAGTGGATTTAAAAATTAAAACCAGAAAAGAAAATGAAAACAATTAATTTTTTGCCTTGTTACTTTTAAAATTATTTTGCTTTATTTTTACTTTATTTTTTATCAGATATTGTTGCGTTTTTTTCGAAAAATATAACAAAATTTTCCCCTCAGTTAAGATTTCCCAAGGTTTTGCATGATTTTCAAAATTATTCCCCAGATCCCAAGGGGGGTCGTGAATTCCCAAGACCTTGGGAAATTTCCCAAGGTGTGGTAGCCCTGGACCAACCAAACATTATCATGTGACCTCACGTGACCAGCCGGGTCCGAATAGTCATTTGATGCTATAGGTACTCGTAGTCACTGTTTTTTTTTTAAAATTAATATGTAGCTTTTTTCCCAATGTTTCATATTATTTTTCATGAAGGGTACTGATGTATTTTATAAATGTTGAAACAAATGTGATCAACACATTCCTTATTCACGAAATTATTTGTTATCCTTTAAATTTTGGATAATTTTCAACTGAAATGTCATCACGCTAACTGCATTTCTTATATGAAGATTTCATGCTACAATATTGTTTCTGTTTCAAAGTCAATTTTTTTCTTTATAACATATAATATCATTTAATTGAATTTTGAAAATGGCCTGGAATGTCCACACCTCCTCTCATTATGAGTTGCTTGATGATGAAACAGTCAAAAGCAATTTGATGATTAAATGAACTATAATTTCTGTTCATTGCAATGCTTATGAATACTTTGTTTTTAAGGATTTATTAATCAAATTGATTGTGAAATATGTTTTTTATGTGGATTTTGATTAATATTTTAAGTGATATCCTTTTTCATTTCTTATTAATATTGTTTGTATTAGATTAATATAATTTGATATCCCAGTATTAATAAAATGATAAATTTACTGAAGAATTTTTGGTGGTTTAAAAATAAATTGTGTGAATTAATTTTTGAAAAAATTGAACTCATAAATCAACAAAATTAAGGAGAAAGAATTAGAATTAAAGCCAAAACTGATGAGGCACTTTTATAGACTCTATATGTTAAAACTGAAAACAAAATATTGAAAAAATAATATTTTTTTATTTTCAGCAGTCAACAGGGTGAAATTGGATCTATATTTTTAACAGGGTCACACTGATTAGTATCAAGTAAAACATTAAAAACATACATTTAATTAAAGTACTGAAACAAGAAAGCTCAAAGAAAACAGCACTGGATAAATTGATGCAAACTCTTTGAAAAATATAATAAAAAAAAGAGAAGGTTTTTCACAGTAGGAATGCTCAAGTCTTAGGCAAAGCTTTGATTGAAATTGAACAAATATCAACATTTACAATAGAAAAATCAGTTAGTAAAATTGAAAGAACAATTCATTAAATGGCCAATCCATTTAGAATGAATGAAAGATGAAACATTTGAGAAAATTGTCAATTGATGTTTCATTTTTTAAAATCTTAGGTTACCTACCGCTTCAGCGTTGGAGATTAAAAAATCTTGTTGCTCGGGTTTGAAGTGCTATTTAAAGTTATTCTTCTATTGATAAAATAAAATTCTTAAACCAGTCATACACAACACTGATATCTGAGACGTCAGCCTTGGGTGACAACTGCAATATGTCCCAACACCAGCAGTAAAAAAGAATCATAATTTGCTGGATGCTGAAAAACAAAGAGCCTTCTCATAGTAACTTTCTGTAACTGCACGAAGCACAAGCCCATCTGAGAACATCCTGTCCTTGAATGGATCTGTTCAATATACGCAACCCAATGCAGACACCACATGTTATACTGATTTTAGCATGCCTCAATGCATACAACATTGCAGTGCTTATTGAGGGTCTGACAAGATCGCAGCAGTGTTGACAGTCTCCACACTTAGTTGCTCATCTCAACAGCATCAAAAACTTCTTGCACTGGCACTATGGTCGTCTCCTCTCTTTTTCTTCCTGCCATACCGGTGGATTATTAACTCATTTATATGAATTCTGCTCAATATCTTTAAACGGAAGTGGAACTATTAATGGACATCAATAAAAGACTAACCATTTAAATAGCACTTTAAACCATAACAACATGATTTTTGAATAACCATAGAAGTAGCAGATTACCTTATTTTAACTGCGTGTATAATATTTAGAATAAATATAAACTATAAAAATAATATGACTGTTTCTGTTATAAGCATACACCTCATTTATAAAGTTTATAAAAGCATTTTGAAGACTTTGATATCAAATGATCTAATAAAATTTATCATAAAATTTCAAATTAGTGTCATTGAGACTATAAAATAAAAATTATAATTCAAAATTATTAATAAAAGACCCTTCAACAATATACACCAGACCTAGCAATACATGAAAATTATTTTAGAGAGTATGGCAAAAAAAAAAAAGAGAGAGGAAGAGCAAAGAAAAAAAAAAAAAAAAAAAAAAAAAATAAAAAAAAAACAAAAACAAAAAAAAACAAAAAAAAAAAAAAAAAAAAAAAAAAAAAAAAAAAAAAAAAAAAAAAAAAAAAAGGGGGGGGGGGGGGGGGGTGTAAAAACATAAGATGTAAAAATCTATAAATACACTTAAATATGAAAATATGAGCATGAGAAAGCACAAGTAAAAGAAACTCATACTTGGTTGCATTGCATGAAGCATATTTGACATTTTTTACCAAGATAATAGATGAAAGATCAAAGCTAAACTCTTCAAAAATACTGAAAAGAACAATTATACATAGCATGACATCAATGAGACATTTATACATAGCATGACATCAATGAGACAATTATACATAGCATGATATCGATGAGACATTTATGCATAGAATTACATTAATAGATTACTATGTAGCATAGAATAACATAAACTGATTACTATGTAACACAGAACAACATCAATTGATTAGGCTACTATGTAGCATAGAATTTAAAACAAATTGATTACTATGTAGCAACCATCATGAACCTGATAGATGGAAAGAGATTTGTATCTATTTTATTTTTATAAGGAACTTGCAATGTTCAAATAAAAATTACTGGTATCCAAATAAATAAAAACTATTATCTACCCAAAATACAAACATGTTTACTAAACAAAACAAACAAATATGATTGAATAGATGTTGGATTTCTGGGTAGGTTCAATAGGAAGATGTTATGGAATACAATGTAAAACCATCAACTATTTAGTGGAAAGCGTGGGGTAAGTGATAGGGGAGATAATCTGTTGGGAGTAAGATATAAATAAATTTGATATTATTAATTATGTAAATGTTATTTATAAAATGACAACAAATTTGGTAAAATAAAATCTGTTTATGACAAGATAGAATTATTCAGGGGGTTGATTCATAAATGAAATATAAACAAATATTCCTCCATCCAGCACTGGTTTTAGCTCATAAATAATTGTGTGGTGGAATCTAAAGTAAAATGCAATATTTTCAATGCAAAAAGAAAAAAAAATGTTTTGCCCTTATTTCACAATCAGATCTAAGCCAACAGAACAAAGAAATGGATGCAAGGAGCAGCTTATTGCCAATATCAGATGTTGAACTTTACAAGGAATGCACAAATCCCATGAACATTTTTTCATTTAAATACTCACATTTCACCTTCAAATAATTGTGAAGGAACTGGGTCATATACAATTTACATATTTTAGCATTAAGTAACAGATTAAAATAACAGATGTTGCATGTAATTTCCCAAATAATAGAGGAATTAACAAGTAATTTGAGTTTATGTAGTATTGCTTTTAAAACATCCCTACCCCCCCAAAAAAAAAAAACAATAACAAACAAACAGACAAAACAACCAGAAAAGAAAGAAAAACACAACCACCAAATCAAAACTACAAAGGGTATGACTAAAATTGACAAGACATATAAATATGAACACACATGAAGGTAAATCCTTTGTCAAACAATCAATCTCATAAAAGTGTTTAAACAAAGTTAAAACAAGGGAAACCATGTTTCAAAAAAGGTAGTTGGAGAGAGAAGGCGATGGCTGAGAATAACTAAGTGCGGAAAAAGGGGGGGGGGGGGGGGGGAGGGCATCTGGGCTTATGCTCCTTTATTTAAAAGTAAATACAGATAGGATGCATATGGTGTCTTGGGATGCAATTTAAAAAATTTATGTTAAACTGATAAATGGGTCATATTTTGTTTATAGTGTTCTGTCTAAAACAGCAAAGTTTACTATTGTAAATAGTGATATGGTGTTAGTAGACAGACTTTGTGACAAAAGCTTAACCCACATAACATGGAAATAGCTCAAGTTTAACTTTAGTCATTCAAAGTTCATAGAATATTGCTATGAAAAAACAAGAAATGTGTTCATTTATATCAATTCATAATTTCAATAAGCTTAAATACTTTTTAATAGATTTTCCCTATTCTGTTTTATATTTCTTAAATATCCCTTGAAAGATTTTCCCCTACCTTATTTTATAGATTTCTTAAATATCACTTATATCATTTTTTGAACCCAAGATTAATATCATCATCTATGATATGTTACACTGGTTTTCAAGTTGCACACATTAAGGTTACATACAATGAAAAATAGGATTTGTTAATTACCATTCCTTGACTTATTGGACATATTTAATTCAAAGATTTGTGGAATATATACAATTTTCATATACATTTAACTCAAAAATTTTTAAGCTAATAATAGTTAAATTTGTTGAAAACATTTAAATTTGATGACTCATTATAAATTTAATTAGCTATCTGCTGTCCAACAAGGATACCTCTACATTGAGATTATTGAATGATCTCAAGCTGTTATAAAATGTTCAACAATTAAATGCAGATAAGATAATTACTCCACTTTGGAGGATCCAAAATTAGCCACAATCATTCTTTAGCACAAAATTAAAATTTAAAAAATCCCAAGAAGCAATCAAACATAAAATGAAAGTGATGAGATAGAGGAAAATCTAACTGAGATACCAACCTTTACACCTGATCATTATCTCAAGTTTTATGTGTTTAAAAGTAGGTCTGGTTAACTTTTAATTATTAAAATAAATTGAACCAAATCTATGGGATATTTTATAAGAGTGACTTAACCTTTTTTTACTTTTGATAAAAATTTCCATAAATTAATTTCAACCAAAATTATTTAATTAATCCTATAATTTTTTTTACTAACTTTGGCTCTTATTAATTTATTTTCTGAGCACTGAGACAAGAGAAATAATAAATTTAAAATTAAGCAACTCCTTGCATTGGGATCTCCTCTCTCTTTACTCCATCTGCAGTTATCTTCTCTTTGAAATCTGGCAGGTTATTTTCAGAAGAGCTGGCTGAGCTGACCTCTACCTCCCTAAGTGAGTCAGGTAGCCTCTTGTTGTGGGTCTCAGGCAGGGGGAATAATACCAGGCCAGCCAAAAGGGACATCACTCCAAATATAATGATGGCATCTACGTCCCACAAAGTCTTTGTCTAAAAGCAAATACAGGATTGAAAGCCAAATGAAGCATATGGGAAAATATTTTTCTCTATAGTTGCATTAACATTTATGAAATCATCATTTAGGTACTTTGTTTTGGACTTAATTATAATTCTAAAATGACATGAATATTAAAAAAACAAGGTTATGTAAAGAATGCCATAAAAAATTTACCCATTGATTAATCTGAGGAGCAAGTACACCCCCAACTCTGGCCCAGAAGCAGCAAGCACCCATCCCAATATTTCTGGAAAAAATTTAAACCAAACAACATAATGGCTGAATTTATTTTTTGCCAAATACAAATAAAAAAAAAAGTACACATTTTCTATAAATTGGGATGTTAATGCCTATATTTAAAAAAAAAACCCAATAAATTGAATGATTGAAATAAAATTTTAAGCAGCTAAGAAATATCACATTTTAAGTTTACATCACCACAATGATTTTTAACATCTCTATGGCCAAACGAGTCCTTAACTATAAAGGATCGCATTAATGAGAGATATAAACTTCTGCTAAATGGTACCATATCTCTCCAGTAAAACCTAAACAATTTTACAAGATTAACGTTACCAAAATAGTTTTAAATAATGCAATGTAAATACCTGATCACTGTTGGATATATCTCAGATGTGTAAACAAATATGATGGCAAACAGGCAAGCCATGGCACATCTTCCAGTGATGGCCAGAGTAATTGTTACATGACTGAGACCTGAGATAAGATAAAAAAATAAAGCAAAAATTTGGTATACAAATAAGGCTCAGCATAATAGTGGCAGAATGCTGTCTTGTTGTAAAGGAAAATATTTGTAAAGGAAAAGTTTTAAACACATTTTTTTAATTATAGTTTCAAAATATAACCAAAAAAAAACTTTTCACCTGCTGTATAATCATTAATAAATCCTGCAGCTAAGCAAGTTGCAGCAGCAATAAGAAAACATGCCAAAAGGGGCTTTTTTCGGCCAAACCTGGAGAAAAATTAATAATTATGTATTTTTTTAAAAGTGATTTAAAAGTGGTGTAAATTTTACTTTTAGCACCCAACTAATCTTACATGACATTTCTTCATATGAAATTTTTTTTAGTTAAAAAGTGCTTTACAATTTCAGACCAAGAAAACGAAATAGTAAATTTGAGGCATGTTTCTCCAAGAATGCAATATGGTTATAATAGATTCTTAATAAATGTGTTTATGATTCTTGACTTCACCCCAATTATGTTTTTTGTACAGAAGACTGGCTGCCACCCATTTCCATTTTGTAAAAAAGACTGCCTACCAGCCATTTCCATACGTATATATTTCCATATTAAACTGTTAAATAAAAATCTAGGTTCACGAATGGTTCCACATACTTCCTCATGATGGGCAAACTGACCGCATATGCCAGGGTCTCAACTGCCCCTCCAATGAAGAAATTGAGGTAACGGTTTCCTTTAAAGCCGGACATCTTGAAAGTAAGTCCGTAATAACACGTAGATATGACCAGCCTGGGAGGTGGATGGGGAAGTGGTGCAGTAATATGCAGGAGGATATTTTAGGGAATACATCGGGGAATAGGAAAAATTAATCTACCTTGCGATATTTATTTGTCAAAGAATAAATTTAAAAGAGTTCTATTGCATTTATTTGTAAACAACAATCTAAATTTAAGAATGATTTTCTATACAAAAATAACAAAAAGATGCAGACACAAAAATGCTTACTTTTATTACAATTATTTGTCTCATTGTTGGAGTAACACATGAGTTCTTAATCAACCTTCCTATATGTATCTAGAGCAAAGGTCAAAGAAACATTAAATCTGTTCATGGAGCAATGCTGTAGCAGCCTACCATATATAAAACAGAATAACTGATCGTTTTCTCATGTGTCCAGTGCGGAACATGTCGGTGAAATTGTAGACACTCTGTGAGCCGCCGTCTTTCATCTGTTTGTCAGTGTCTTCACGGAGTGCTTCCCACTGCTCAGCTGGATAGGGAACCTGTGAAACGTGGAATGTTGACATATTTATATACCGGTATATATTCATTACATATCACTAGACGTGGGAAACCTTTGGCCCGAGGGCCACTTCTGTCCAGCTGAAATGTATTTATCAGCCCATCAAGGATTTCTGGGAAGTGGATGGTTCCTTTAAAAGGCACAAATTAAGAAAGGTTATTTGTTAAAGCCTTAGAAAACTGTTTGTCAAAGTGTACAGTTTTCAAAACTGTTTCCATAATTTTTTCACTTGTTACGTACAACAAAGGATTTCTGGGAAGTGGATGGTTCCTTTAAAAGACACAAATTAAGAAAGGTTATTTGTTAAAGCCTTAGAAAACTGTTTGTCAAAGTGTACAGTTTTCAAAACTGTTTCCATAATTTTTTCACTTGTTACGTACAAACTTAAACGCCATTTCTTGTCTAGAACCCTAGATTGATAGAAAATTATCATGCAGCTCACCAAAAATATTTGTAAGTTCGGTGCATCCCTCTGCACAAAAATCTGGCCAGCCATAATATGCACAAACCCTTTTACACTTTAACAATGATATTAATTGAATAGACATTTTTAGGTATTTGTTTAAAGATTGACAGATCAGACAAAGACTTGGAAATAATCAAACGAAGGTGGAGCAAACCGCGGTTAAGAAATGTCCAGCATAAATTTGAACATTGAGATCTGTGAAGTAAGCACTTTCAGAGTTGATGAAACAGATTTTAATTTGTTTGGCTTTAACAAAAAAAGCTTCTATTAAAAAAATCCATTCAGTTAATTTGACTGAATTAAAAGTCCTTTTCAACTTATTTATTTCTGTATTTTTTTGTCTTTAAATCTGAATAGTTCACCTTGCCATGGTAGTTTGCCTCAAGTTAGTCACCATCTCATGTTAGATTACCATGTTGTTAAGTTTAACTTGGTGTTATGTTAGATTACCTTTGTTATGCTTAATTAACATGTTAGATTTCCTTATGTAAGATTACCTTGTTATGGTAGAGCACTTTTTTATGTTAGATTACCTTGTTTGATTAGATTACCTTATGTAAACTTACCTTGTGATGTTAGATTACCTTGTTCATCTTGCAAATATTTTTTATTACAAGGTCAGCTCGATCTGTTTTCCCTTTCATGATCAGCCACCTCAGAGATTCTGGCACAACCCTGGGAAACATTACATGGCTATGAGAGTTAGTCATTTCAACAAGCTTAGTGATATAAAGAGAAGTTTTAGTCCTATGAATGATGAAACTGAAATTTCAATCAGTCATGGTTCATTCTGGGTAAGTCTGAACTAGCACAATAAATACAATGAAGTCCAAGTCAATAGGGGGAATTTAACAGTTAAAAGGCTAAGAAATTTCATATCTCTAAAATGTTCCAATAAATAATAAGAAATAAATCCATAAATCTAAATTAAAAAAGCCAAAAGACCTAACCAGCTCTACAGTTATATAAGAAATACAAAGAGCCAAGTTTTGAAGTCACCTATTAGGAAAGTTCCCACTGATATCTTACCAAGGGTAGAAAACAGCTAAAACTCCAAATAAGCTAATCAGTATCTGGAGGTGTTGCCAGTCCCTCACAGCAAAAGCTAAACCAGCAAGTAGCATAATGCTGGAGCCAAAGAAACATTCAGTTACTGCCCCTGCGAACGGCCGGTGTTTAGCTACGTAGAGCTCCATGATCAAGGTGTATGCTGATGTCTGCAGACCCTGGTAAGAAAATTTTTTTTTTTTAAACTATTAAAGTTACACATGTAGGAAAAATAAAACATACAAAGTTATCATTCATATCAACCAATGAAAATAATCATATTTTAAAATAAGCATTAATATGTCTCCAATCTATCCACATCTTTCGCCCCGCTGAAATTTGAATTTCTGTATTTAACAGTTTTAGAAGCTAAAAAATTGTAATTAAAATTAAAAAAAAAAAAGACTCAGTTGTATTAATATAAAAAGAATTACATTTTTTAGTTAGAAATTGACAAACTTTCCTGAAAACATCCCCTTTAGTTAAAAAATATACAAATCTGAATTTAAAAGATGAGTCTCCTTTACTTTACCTGCATTAGTATGCCATTAATAAACCTGAGGACAACGAACATGACATAGTTAACAGAGAATGCGATGATTATGCCAAGGATGGTGGAGGAATACAAGGTGAACAGCATGATGGGAAGGCGCCCGAAGCGGTCAGCCAGATCTCCGAAAACAACTCCTCCAACCATTACACCAGCGAAATAAAGAGTGGTTGCCAGATTGGCCAGGTACGCATCCGAACAAACCAGGTCAAACTGAAATACAATTTAACATTTTTTTAAACATTAACATCCACGGAATTACATTTCTTGGTAGTTCACTTTCAAAAGCTGAAGCTGTGATACACACAAATTATTTTCGGAACTATAAGAACAAAAGTATTAACAGATTTCTTTCAAAAGTATTGTTTCAATGAATTCAAACTGTTTTTAGATAGCCTGATTTAACATTGTTAACAATAATCCTTTTTTAATTTAATATCAAAATTAATATTCTCAGATTAATTATTAATAGTATGACAGACTTCTTTATAAATACATTCATGAGGATCTAATAGACAATTGTGTGCACAAGTTACCTGACTGACTATGTTCTTCTCATCATAAACAGGCTTATATCTCCATTGACCTCTAGATGTGCACTGGACAGTCTCACTCTGTCCGTCCGAGTAGAAGAGAGTTGCATTGCATTCAGCGTGAGTAGCATTGACCAAAACTTTCTGGCTCGAGTTTTTGTATGGCCAAGTACCAGGGATGATTTTGTCTAGTGCTGTAAAAATTAATTAAAATGGTTTGATATAATTTTCTCAAAATAATGGGAGAAAAAATCTTGAATGCATATTCCTTGTATCCCATTGTCTTACTACAATGGAACACATTTCATACTTTATATGCTACGATGAATGGCAGAATTTTAAAAATTTATTCAGATGGCAGGCTTGATAAGAAATTTGCATAACTTTATACATATTTAAAATGCTCATAGTTAGCTAGTATTTTTTAAATAAACGTTCAAGTTTTAAAAAACTTTCCGTATCAGCATTCTGTATACAAATTACAACTTAACTGTGCTAAATAATGCCCTTGTAAGGATTTTCAAATCTGCTAAGAGATTTTTAACTTCAAGATTTAAAAAATAAAATAAATTAAACACATTAAATCTTTTTAAAATTTATAATTATTTTAAGATTACGTAATTTGTTTTATTACTAAAAAATGCCCCCAAAATAAAAAAATAAAACACTCTTACTTACTAGCATCAGTTCCCTGGTAATACATGCAGTTATGGGCAATGGGTGTTCCATGGAAAGCCATGATAACATGGTTGAAAACCAGCACAATGTAAGTGTAAGCAGCCAACATATGAACCATAATCTGGAACTTCCCTCGGCCACCTAAAGAACCCAAAAGGCTCTCTAGACTTTGGTTGTTCAGCTTCATTTGTAGAAATGTCTGTTGTATATTGATGTTATTTAAACTTTATCTGGCTCTCTTGCTGGCATTCATGTGATGAATGTGCTCTGCTTTAGTTTTCAGAGACACAGGTAAATGTTTTTATAATGGTATTGATGTAAGATTTAAAAGAAAAAAAACAAGATGATTGAACATTAAAAGGAAAATAATTTTGCATAACAAAGCTCTTAAAATGGATAATGTGCAAGGGATTGCGTTCAAGCCGTGTGAAGGAAAAAGTAGAACAAGATAGTTGAAAGCTTGAACGGATAGGCGGAAAAAAATGGATTTAGGTCATTTATTTTTTTATATTTTCAATTACACGTTAGTGTTAATGTGCCATCTTTCATGGCTTTTCATGTGTCAAAAGTTTTATTCTGTTTGATTTGGGCAATCACATCATCATATCCAGTTTTAATAAATATCTCAAGTCATGAATGTTAATATCATCTATAGAAATTAGAAATTTTTTTCTTACCTAGCCCTAGGAAGTGCATATAACACATTTATTTGGTAATGGACGATTTTCAAATATTTCTTTAAAAAGATAATCACTTAATAAGATCCCTTTTTTGTGCACACATTAGCATCTAGTTTAATCAAGAAAATTACTTTTTTTTTTACTTGTGCAAAGTTCTCATGTAAGAGAGGTAATAAAGTAGACCAATTAGTTTGACACAAACAAAATAGAATGGGACAACAACATATGATTAAAAATATATATCTTTTTTCACTTGAAAAAAATGTATTGGTATGTTAAATAACATTTTAAAGATGTAAAATAATACTATAAAGAGACTTGGCCTTAATTAACCAACTGTCCTAATTTGAAATAAGCATGCATGACCAAAGTTTTGTACTTTTTACTGTCCAGAAGCTAGACTGAACTGTGACACCTGTGTAACAGTGCAATCATAATATTATAACAATAGCCACACCTCCATTGAAAATGTCTCACCACATGCCAGGCATTCAACAATTAATTTCAAGGCGACGCAAGGCAAGGACAAGAACAGATAATGCTCTTAGAACATTTTTCCCCCAAAAGAGTAATTCCATTCAAATCTAAACCAGCATTTTTCAGATTATCCTGTTTCAATTAACTAGTCACTATGAATGTTGTTATTGACAATTGATTATTTTTAATAATAATACACATCTTATATATTTATTATTAGACTATATATAGTTGAATAGGGGGTGCTGGTTTGGGGGGAGGGGGTTGGAAAATATTATAATTATAATGTTTAGTTGTTGTTTGGTTTTTTTTTTACAATCCAAGGGTTTCTAATTAATATAAAATAATTGTATGGGCACAGTCTGTTATTGACTCAATGACTGAGACTAATGTCCATGTCAAGTGTGACTGAAATCAGTGTAGTGTACCGGTTAATGAGTAATACTAAAACTAAAACTAAAAAATATAACTATAACTTGCAGTACACTGTAACTAAATTTAAAATTGAATAATTTTAATTTTAAGAATTTAGAAATGTAAGACTAATAATTACAATTAAATTTAATCAATTAATTAAATTTAAGTAATGTAATTAAAATTATTCTAAAAAATTATTTTTCCTCCAATAAAAATTGAAAATGGAACAATTTCAAGTTAATCCTAGAATCCTAGCTAAGCCTAAATTTACATCTAAGTACATATTCCAAAGACTACACAAATTTCAATTAAAAAGTCTTAAACTTAACATGTGATTAAATTTTAAATGACCGATTTAACTAACGTGTTGAGGATGACCTCTGACCTGGCTAATTCGGTAATTAGTATACCGTGTAGTAAAAGTAAAGGCAGGTGTAATTGATTCAATGATAATGATTGGTTTCCATAATTATAATGTCAATGTAAATGTAGGCTACTCGCCGACGCCTACCGTACTGTAGTTTTGTCTAATTTGTAGGCTTGGCTAATTAAATGCTGGTATAATCAATATGCATTAGGCCTTGTTTTAGGTTTGAAAAGAGCACATCTAGGTCTACAGCTCATTATTTAAATTTTAAATTTCCTCTGGTCCCTGCTCACAGGTGCTGTGCTGTGGTGTGACAAAAAACCGGCGAGTGCTAAATTTAGAATTGCTTAGAAACTGTCAACAACGTTTTGTAACGGATTCGCAAAAAAAACACCTAAAAAATATCTGGCTCAATGAAGAATTTTGATTTAAATATATTGAAATAAATGACGGCATCATGCATTTTTCTTAAAACAAATTATTGATTCTCTGTCACTGAAAATAGTTCAAGTTAAAAGTATTTCATACCTCATAATATGAATTGTCCTGAAATCTTAAACTAGGCTATATTTGTTGAAAATTAACATTCTGTCACTCTACTACAATTTAATTAGAGTACAATGACATATTTAATCATATTGTCAAATGTGATTGATTGAATTCAACTTTTACTTAAATTAAATTAAAAATTATTTAGATCACTTAACTATAATAATTACTCTCGATAATTTCCCAAAGTTATTCAAAATTGTTTTAAAAATCAAATCCGGTTTACAAAAAAATTGCATTTTCAATCTTAAAATGAAAACTAATAAACAAATTCGAATCTTGTTGCCAACTATCGCCCACTGTGCTAACTATATTAAAATCTTAAGAGAGAGAGAGAGAGAGAGAGAGAGACAAACGTCTGTACTAGTTATTTCAATGACCTACGGAGAGGGGTTTGGATCTGCGAGATGGAACATTTCGGCACTTTCCATTTATAATTCCCCCCCCCCCCACACACACACACACAAACAAAAACAAACTGAAACAGCTTTGTTAATTTAATCATGTGAAAATAATGTGGCGTTTGACACATTCGTCCTTCGCATGCGAAGATGACCAAGTTACCTTGACTTGTATTTCGTTTAATTTTAATGTGAGGAGAGTTGCTATGTTCGCCAACCTTACTCTCTCGCCCTTGCCTATTTGACTCATTGCTAAGACCACTAGAGACAGACCAGGATGCAGTAGATGATCATCGGCGTTTCTTGTGTTTCACTGTGCTCTTTAAGCGTTCCGTGTCGTTGGAGTTGTCGGAATTTTCATTGAGTCAATGTCATACCACCTACGGGACTCCATCTCCAAAGTCTGATTCTAGATTTTGTCTTCTCTTAGTTTCCAACCACGGTTAATGGTTCCTATCCGCTTGGGATGTTGTTTTTTCAAGTCCGAGATAGTAGGCCTACAGTCTACATAAAGTGCCACACATTGACATTATATTATAGGAAGTTCAAACAATTTGTGAATTTTTTGTCTACTTGCTCCGCCTCATCCTTCTTGGATTACATTTTATATTATGAACTATATGATACTCTGATGACTAAATATGAAATACAATTGACTAACATACTCATAGCAATTTTGTACACATCTGAAGTAGTTTGAATTAAATCAATTCTGTCGCAATCACATTGTCGGTGCTGAGTTATACAGCACCTACCTGCAGTCAATGAATCAGTGCCTTTCTTCATGTCTAAGGCAGACTAGAGCTCCCGGTGGCCCTTGCAGCCATTTCTAAGGCAGACTAGAGCTCCCTGTGGCCCTTGCAGGCATGGCAGCCATTTCTAAGGCAGACCAGAGCTCCCGGTGGCCCTTGCAGTCCTGGCAGCCATTTCTAAGACGGACTAGAGCTCTCGGTGGCCCTTTGCAGGCCTGGCCCACATTTCTGAGGCAGACTAAAGCTTCCGGTGGCCCTTGCAGGCATGGCCCACATTTCTGAGGCAGACTAAAGCTTCCGGTGGCCCTTGCAGGCATGACCCACATTTCTAAGGCAGACTAGAGCTCCCGGTGGCCCTTGCAGCACAGGCTATGAACAAAAAAAAAAGACAATTCCAACTATGGTGTGAGTGATAGTGGATATGCTTATGGTGACGAATGATGTGTACGACACCCACACTTTTAAAATTAAATGAGTTGATTTGAATGTTATCCAAACTGAACATACACAAACTGAAGTACTAATACTAATAGTATTTATATGAAATCAGTCATGAATCTTTAACAAAAAAAAACAAAATAACTTTTGTTTTAACCAACAACAGAGCCAGCTGTAATGTTTATATAAACAAGTTAATCAACAGAGAAAGAAATAGTGTGTGAATTTTTTTTTTTAATTGCATCGATTTTAACATGAAATGACATCTACACATGACAATAAGATAAACAATTCAAGGGTGGCTCTTACATTTACTTTTAAACAACAGTCTCATGAAGACAAAACTATTATTGTGATATTTAAGACAAGAAAGGCATTCAATAGTAGTAGTACCTTTGATTCGTTGGTTATAAATCCCCAATCTCTAAAACAATAGTCCCCAACCTATGGCCACAGGCATCATGTTGCTAGTGATACAGAAGCTGAACACAGCCAACAGTTTAAAGGCTAGTCCAGGGGTGGGCAAACTTTTGTGCGGAGGGCCACATTGACAAATGTAAAGCTATTGGGGGGGCCGCATGTATATTAGGTCCAATTTTTACACGTCGATAAACATTTCTCTATTTTAAAATCGGTAAATTAGCATTTTAGCATTACAAGACAAAATTCAAAGACTGTTAAAAAAATCGAAAATTAGAAATAAATTTGATCAAAAAATGTTAAAACAATCATAACAGTACTTAAATTCCTTAAAATTCAAAAAAATAATTTAAAGACAAAGTAATCTTTTTTATCTCTAAATGCTTTCGAGGGCCGCATAATATCAGTTGCCGGGCCGTAGTTGGCCCACCCCTAGGTTAGTCTGTTCTCTCATGGTGATTGAACTTGTAAAAAAATGAGGATTTCTGAATGTGATCTTTACAGGAATTTTGAATCTTACACGACCTCTATTCTCTATATGTATAACAAATGGTCAGCGTGAAGTGTTAGTGATACTGCTTAAGGTTGTAACAGATGACACAAAACCTTTCAACCCCTTGACTTGATGTAATGGGCCAGTGGCTGAGTGTTGACAGATTAAAAAAAGATCCTCCTTCTCAATAAAAACAGATATTCAAAGAACTATTTTGACAAAATATATCCCCATTGAAGATGCATTACAAAAAAAATAAAAAAATATGGTCTCCCAGGCTTTCATTTCAGTCTATCTGTTTAGGGAACAGCTTGTCTTCAAGCATAATCAGTTTTAAAATACTCAAATCTCCCTCTGATTTACAAAGCATTGAATGAACTCTCCATATTCTTTTGTTTTCTACAATTTCATCTCAGATGGTGGAAAAAAAAAAAATTATGAAAACTTATTTGCATGAATGAAGCAAATTTGCCCAGGGCTTATTTAAGTAGAGCATTTGATTGAGAGTATTTTATCCCAGGGTACAACACTGAGGCTAATGCCACAACAACTTTAAGTGGGAAATGTCAACAAAAACTGAAATATTGATAAAACACTTCAAATAGGAGGCATTGAGCTACACAGTATGCAGTCAACAAAAACTGATACATTGATAAAACACTTCAAATAGGAGGCATTGAGCTACACATTATGCTACGTCTCTAAAAAAATTAATGAGACACATAACATTTATTTATCAACTCTGTATTTTAATGAATTGTTTTCCCATATGATCTTTAAAGAAATGACATCATATCCTACTTATTTAAAAAAATATAATCAAATAAAACATTTAAATTAATTCTTTTGGGCTTTGATGATAACATTTGATTTCATTGTAAATAATGAATAGTGAGTCAAACACAGCTGTGTACTTCATGATATTTTTTTAGTAGCACCATATTTAAGTAGTGTTTTTGTTTTAGTAATGAAAAATTTGATGAAAATACTGGTCTTGGATGACTAACAACATATAAAACTGTAAGTTTTTTGTAAAGAAATAAAATTTAGCTAGGTTGTACAGACATTCAATGACATGATAAAATATCAAAACATATGACTAGCAACCTTTAGCAAAATTTTAAAATCTTCACATAAGAGACATTTACATGAATTAATATAACAGTTACATGCTAATAAGGAAAGATTGATAGTGTGTTCATTTGTAAAAGAAAACAACAAAAACCAACAACTCTACACATGAAAAGCACCAAATGTTTGTTTGAGAAACACATTTTTAGTTCAATATTAAAATTCAGTTAATTTTTCAACCATAACGACTCAAAATTTCAGCCAATTCTTCTTTATGTTAGGTTACGATTTTTTATTCACTTTCTCAAGTCATCGGGTTTTCCTGGCACTAGCAACATCTTAAATTGTAATAGGCAGAAGAGTTCCCTTTTTAAAAAAAACAATTTTTGTTGATTTTATGTTTCTTTGATTTAGAAGTTTAAAATAATTTTTATCTTAAAAATGATTTTATAAACTATTCTGTTTTAAGTTAATTGTAAAAAAAAAATAAAACATAACTTTTGAAAATATAATATTAATATGTTGTTCTTTGCTGGAACAAAATTTCAAAATATCTTTCTCACAGGTCAGATTCATTTATTAAAACACACACCCAGAAGTAACTGGTGAGCTATTTAAAATACAAATAATAATTGACACATATTTGAAAACAGCTATTGACCAGATTTCTACCACCAAGTATATATAAGTGCACATAGTGTGTTGCTCCACATCTTTACACAATTGATAACATCACGTATTCTGTACAAAAAAATGCAGCTGCTTTGAAAGAACAGGCACCATGAAACTTCCCCTTCAAAGTCAATTTATAATTCAGATGCAAATGAAACATAAATTTGTTCAAATTATTTTAGAGCGCTGTTACCTCACTGTAAAAAAATTATTACCCAAAGCTATTTTCTGCCTCTGAAAAAAAAACAAAAAAAAAAAACAACAAAAAAACCAGCCCAATTCTTCTTTTGATAAAAAGATCTCAGATAATGAACTGAAATAAAAGGCTCAAGTAAGATTTTCACAAATTTATCTGAAAGACATTAAAATATTTAAAAGGCAATGATAAAATGAAGCTATACAAGACATATATTTATCAACAAACTGATTATGCTCAAGTTGTATTTTTTGGAGAGTAAGAATAGCAAGTATGTTTCAAACTGTAAGGAAATATCGCAAATTGGTATGAAAAACATGTACATATAGTATTTCTGGATTCTAGTTGTGATCAGCACTATGTGATTGTTAAATAAAAATAGGAGTATTATTTTAGGTTCGGTGCTTTGATTTGTAAGACTTAAACTTTCCAGAGGATTATAGTATTAAATAAATCTCATTGTTTTTACACTGAATTATATAGGAACATTGTGGCAAAAATTACAAATCAATTTTTTTTTTCTTTCTTACAACTTTTTTCTTCAAAACATGACGTAAAGCAGTTAGATCTGATTCTTATTTTGTGGTGGCATCAAATATAATAAAAAAAATATTTTATTAAAGCAAGACTGTAAAGGACGATGAACACAAAAGTTTATAAATCGAAAGAAAAATGGGGAATAATAAAATGAAGGATTTAAACAAAGAACACTGTTTAGCGACCCGTAATAGCTAAATCACCGTTAACTAAGAAGCAGTGTTATTGTTTATTTTTTAAAAATTTGTAATATTAAGTATGTACAGTAGTGTCTTGTTTTGCTCTTTTATAAAAAGTTCAGCAGACATGACAGCTGGTTCTACTCAAATAAAAAAGGAATGAAAACATTTCACTATCTCAGCAAGTCCATGTCTTAACACATAACAGCCAAAAAAAAAAGTAATGCAGACTATAGCAGTTGGAAAAGAAATAAAAGAATATACAACATAAAAATGTTAACAGATAAAGAACAGAAATAGCCATTAACCTAATAGATGGGAATGACATAAATAGAAGCTTCCATGTTTGTTCCAATTTGGAGATAGGTTAGTTAATATAATCATTTTTAAACATTATTTAAAAAGTGCACTAGGCTTTCAAAAGTTTGGACTTACAAGTACAGTGATAAGTGTGAGTTCAAATAAGCAAGATTAAGTTCATACATTATTTTCTACTTCTTGCCATTTAACCATTTAATATCAATAAAATAATTAATCCAGCAATAGATAGTTAAGCAGAGCTATTTGAATTGAAACAAAGTGTGCCAGCCAAAAATTTTAAGGTTGTACATTAATATATTATGAAATTCTAAAATATTTTATAGGTGTACAATGTTTCAAATTTTTTTTTAACAACCTTTCTTGAAGTATATGCTACTATAAAAATAAGAAGTGTTTAGGTGTGATAAAATGAAAATGATCAAAAGCACAGGAGGAGAAAAACTCGACGCATCCAGATACCTTGCATCAACCCATTGTATAAGTATAAACAACATATTTAATCTCAAACAAAGTCAATGCATCTAGTTAATATATCTAGGAAAAATGTAAGTGTGTACAAATATAAATGAATAATATACTATCTCCATTGTTTAATTAGTCGTTCTTTGACAACAAGATGTAAATTTATTTACCAAAGTCTTATTTCTATTACAGTCTATTATCTTGGCTCAGACCATCTAATGTGTAAGTTGCGGTTAATAAAAAAAGAAAACACGCCTCTTAATCAACCTCGAGATTTTTTAAAATGATTTTATCATTAAAATTAATAATTTTTATTTTTATATAAGTAATATATAATAATGAGAATGGTTTTAATTTGATCTTCTAAATCATGAACTTTCTATTAATAATTAATGCAGAAAAAAAACAGATAACTATGAAAAGTAGTCTATGTTATTTAAAAGTTTAAAAAGTAATTTTGGATGTCTTTCTTTCAATTACAATTATTGAAACTTTCAATGAAAGACAGAAACTAAAATGTTAAAGCTTGTGCTTAGCTCTGGCTAAGGGACTAATATTCAGTAAGAAATATAATCTCAGCACCAAAAGGACATTCAAAATGATAAAATAAAGCCAACACTTTACATAAGATCAAGGTGAAAGGTGAGCCATAAAAAAAATACCACGAGTTCAGTTACAGTAAGAATATCATCATCAAAAACAAGTCTCAAAATTTTCCATTTTGAGGGGTCAATAAATGATTGTATGATGCTAAAATAAGGAATCGTAAATGTGGATTGAACTGCTGCAAATCTCTTAGCCAAGTAATAAAATTAAGGGAAATTAATTCCCAATCTTGATGAGCTGAGGAATAATTTGATAAGTTTTAAGCTTTCAATGTTTCTCTTAGCGATAAATAGAATTATTTTCAAAATTCCATTGAAATAAAATTTTATACTTCAAACAAATGTGCATCAAACTTCAAGAATAAGAAAAATTTCAACAACCTGAGCAATAGTTATGCTCATTGAAACTCTACACTGCCTACTTTAATATTTGTTTCTTGCCAATTAGTGGGATGGAAATCATCTGACATTTAAAAAAATCTTTACAACATCTTCCACATAAACGACAACCTTACAAGCAGCTATATCATAAATAATTACACACAAACAACGTTTAATAGCATCGAGATATAAAATATACATAATCTTTCAAAACAGTGATAAAATCTGAAATTTTGACTCTTAGGATTTTATTAGGCAATGTGAAGATCATTGGTATCATTTGTGTCATTCAAGTGCAATGCTTCTTTCTCAGACACAAGAGGATCCATCTCTATCTCATCAAGTGTCATGTCTATTGAAGGCTCCGGCTCTTTCACTGGCTCTGGTTTAATGGCCACATTATTATAATCTATGTAACGCTTCCAAACACTACAGATCAGCTCGGACATCACTACATCATTTGTGTTTAAGGCAAGGATGCGAAGCAGGAAGACTCCATCATTACCCAAGTAATCCCGGACAAAGGTCAGGACAGTTCGTCTGCCGTCCTGGAAAAAGATACAATTTAGTGCGGGTCGACTTGAGATTTGGACACCAGGATTCAAAAAGTAATATTTTCAAATTATTACAGTTTTAAAAAAAATCAAGGAACATTATCTGAAAATGCATTGAAAACAAGACTTTTTAAAAATAAACATAACATCATTCTAAATTAAAAAATTACAAAAAGTTACAAACAAACTTTGTTTTAGCAGTGCAGATCCTAAATAAATGACTTTATAAATTGAACATTAAAATAACTATTGATTTACAAATAAGTTTGCTAATTACCTGTGGCAAAGTGCCATCATCATTGAAGACTGATAAATACTTTACAATAAACTTCACTGATTGCCCAGTTCGAAGTATTCTGGTAACCCATTCTAGAAACAAAACAGAGATGAATCACATGAAAAAAAACAAGTAAAATCACGTTATCTAAAAGTAGAGCTTTTAAAAAAAGATTTCACTTTCTCCAATTTATATTAAGTAAATGACAAGCTTATTTAATGCGGGAAAGATATTACTAGTTATTAGGTGAGGATAAAATAAAAACTTGTATCTTCAAGCGGGTCTCTAGATTGCTTTAAAATATTCTTGTACTTCTCACTTCCAAGTTCTATAAATATTATTCACAGCAAAAAAGGTAAAAGTGATTGAAAACATGAAAAAATTAATACTTTACTCAAAATGCTGATGTCAAATATTTTCACTTGTTAAGAAAGTAATTTATAATATATACACAAGAGAAACTTTCAAAAAAAATTTAAAAACTTAAAAAGGAAGACTCACTAAAGAGACTGTATGTTGTCAAGACAAGAAGTAGCATCATCCAGAACCACTCTACAATGAAGAGCTTCTCCAACAACATGTTGATAGTCAACAGACACTGAATCCAACTACCCTGCCCACGGGCCTGGAAATGACAGAGCGCCACCCTGGGGAAGTGTGTGCGATCCTGAGTTGATCTGCTCTGGTGGTAAATCTGGTAGAAGATCCATTAGGTTAAATCAGAACTAAAAACGCAAATCTATTACCCAAAAGGGTCTCGCGTATAGTGGTTCTCTTATCTGGTATCTGGCTTAATTATTTTACTATGGTACACAACCCAAATTATCAAATAAAAAATGGCTTCTTGACACCAAGTTCGGCAATATGTTATGGAGAAACAACCAGCTACTTTATATCAAGAAAAATTGGAAATTCAAAACCAGGCTATACCCAACCATCATATTAATATTACATTTATTAAATTCTTAAAATTCTGTTCAAGTTGGAATCTCATAAACATTTAGTAATGCAAATTTTATATTTTTACCTCACAAAAACTAATTAAAAATTAGCACTCAATGAACTAAAAAAAAATCTACATTAATATAAAAAAAAAGGTTTCGGAAAGCCCTTTATTTTCAATATAAATACCTAGAAGGATATAGTTGGTCAAATCAAAACAGTAATCAAATTAAGGATGTTTAATGAAATAAATAGTTTTGAAGTGTAGTACATCAAATAAACCTTAAAAAAACAACAAAATAAAAAAAACAACAACATCATAGCATTAAGAGTGCTTCTTAAGTTTTGATATATTTTATCATTACTTTATGATCGTCTGTAAATCATGTTTAGCCTTCTTGATGCAATGTTTATAATGAAAATATATCGAGCGGCACTCACCTCTAAAGCTCTGGCACCATAATGCCAATAATTGAAGTCCAAAAAGGCTGTCAGCATGATAAACTGGAGGATGACATTAAACAGGAACAGGGCTTTGACCACCAGGTACATAGTGGATAGGTAATTTCCTGTGTTTGCCCCCATACAAAGCATCCAGTACCTGAGAATCTGAGAAATTTATACAAATTTTAATTAATGTTACAAAGAAAAGATGGGAATAAAGAAGAGAGTCTTTTTTTTAAAAAGCCAATCTTTTTTCAACCAGATCCCAAACTTCAGTTAATCATGAGTAATGGTAATAAAACTTTGTTTTGATTAACAAACTCTTTAGAGAGATAAAAGCCTCTTGAAATGAAAAAAAAACCCCACCAAAAACCATACAATTATTCGTCAACAATAAAAAGATCATAGAAACCTTCTTGCTCTGTGCCCCAACTCTGCTCTTCATGAACCAGAAAGGTTTGCGGTTTATTTTGAGCCATGTTTCAAGGAACTCTGCTACACTTGCAAAAATATTGTTCTTTTTGTCAGTTGAATCAAAGGAACTATCAGCAATCATGGTAACCATTTTTTCTATTTGGGTTCCAGAGTATTCATTACACTCATTCCACACAACATTGGGCAGTTTGAACATGAGCGCCTAGGGAAAAAAATGAAAGAAAATCTCACTATTATTTCTTGGTATTTGAATAATTTAGGTTACAACAAAAAGAGAGGATATAAAGAGCTTCTAGTAATTATAAAAAAAAAAAACAACAACCCAACTCAGCCTAGAAGTTAGAACTAGTTGGGAAATATAACGGAAATAAAAGAATAAATCTTGTGTAATTGACAACCATGCATTGTTTGGAACCTTTGATTGTCAATGTTTATCATTTTATTGTCTCATTTGCCAGCTAAATGACTCCATTATTGAAATGCAGCAATGGTTATAGTTTAACTGTAAAATCATCACTTGAAATGAAGTTCCCACTTGATGGAATGGCAGTGTTGTGCTAAATTTCAGATACCCCACTTATGACTGGCTTGTAAATGCAGTTTTTCAAATAGAAGCCAAGACTTGGTAAGCTGTAAAGAACATTCAGTAACTGTAATCATAATGGAGTTAAATTGAATATGAAACAAGCCCAACACAATTCAAATCACCTGCACCAAGAAAATCACAGTAATCCATCTGTAGAAGTTGATCTCCCCCAATTCTTTAGTTACTCCCAAAACAGTGGAATTCATAGGACCCCCATGATCCGGGCTCAGGTCATATGGAACCTAAATGATATTAAAAGATTAAAAAAACTTAAATGAACAGAATGTCAAACAATACAAAATTTAATGTGGTTTAGTCGTGGAAGGACCAGGTTAAAAATGTATATACAGGCTCAAGATATTTAAAAAATCAAATGACATTTATTATAATCATGTAAATCACACTTACTTGTTCAAAACATTTTAAGCAGAAATAAAAATAAAACATTTTACAGCCTAAGTTTTCCGTGTCTGTTAACTCTGAAAATCTTCAAATGTCATTACAAGAAAAATTCACCAAATGTTCTTAAACATAACCACAAAAGTTTTTTTTTTTTAAAAATTAAAATCCGTGAAGCACAAAACTTAATTGAGATATTTAACATTCCAGAAAATGTTCCTATACCTCACATATTACAATCACAAACTGTAATTTATATTGATAAAAGATGAATATATGTTATTGAAAAACAACCAATTCAACATCAGGCAGTTATTAAACAGATCAGATTGCATTATTCAGGTTACACCAAACATTTGTTTGAGGTGAGTTTGAAATAAACACCCTGCTTCTGTGCATCTGCATGATCATGTCATAATACTTGTGTTATTACAACAAACACAGTTTACTGATTAAAGAGGAATAGCTTTATATGAAAACCTTTGTCTGAAACATTAAATATTTAAGGCACAGTATAATTTCATGCATATTGTCTGAACTTTATGTAAAGTTTTAAGAGCTAATAGCCCACATCAATACATTTAAACCTACACTTGTGTGAAAACATGTTAATTTCTTACTTATATGTTTACTAGCAAAACTCCCACAAATTATGTACCTTGGAATAATAGTAACTTCACCATAAAACTTAAGACACCAGCAGCAATAAGCTCTTATGTTATTTTTCATAAACACAATGTTACACATATTTGGAGATTTGAATATACAGTTTAATGAATCTAAATTTTTAAAATTGTGTTTGTTACAATAGTATTAAGTTGAATAGTTCTGGTTAGGAATTGCCATTGAAACAAATAATTGATGTTTGAGAAATAACAAACTTCTGGCACTGCACCTTTCAGACACTTGAAAATGATGTACTGTGTATTAGTTTGTTCTTATGGGTAAGGAAGATAGATGGGGGAGGAGGATTTTAAAAACGTGAGAAAGTATAATAAATAATGTATAAATGTAAAATGACAAATTTCTGGTACGGATGGTGATTAGTTTATAAACACTGTATAATGGAAAAGTAACGTTTATAAAGCAAAGGCATGTTGCAGATTACTCATTGTTTAAAAAAAAAAAAAGAAGATAAAATTAAGCGAAAATGTTAAAATGTTAAGCGACTTCAACTGGCCATTAATGTTGAATATATTTTTGTCCTAAAATGTCATTTAGCCATGCTGCACTATACACATTTTTAATCTCAGCGTACCTTAGCTGTGTAAGCCACAGCTCCAAAAGCAGGCCTACATGATTCTATACATGTGTATTGCATAGAAGCTGAATTGAGGACACCAAAGTCTGCATGTTGGCTCAAAAGTCATGTGAAGGTTGAAAAGGTAAGGTACCCTTTTCTTAGGTACTCTTTTCTTGAAAACTAACACTAGAGATTTGGATCTGAGTAAAGGGGCTTAAGCCTTAAGCAAGAAATAAAAAGCAAAGAAAAAAAAAGAAAGAGAGAGGAGGGGGTGGGGGATGTAGGTGGGAGAATTTTTTTTGTGTGTGTAATGTTTACCTAGTATGTATTTTTTTCTTTTTTTGGGTGGTGGGAGCAGCAGGTCTGTGAGTCAATGCGAAATTTGGTCCGTTTATTCTGTACTTTAGCTTATTTAAGTCATATTGTGACATTTCAAATGGGGCAACAGCAGCTGGTTTTCACAGCGAATGGATGAGATTGCCTTAGACAGTTACACATGGGAAAATAATCAGCTTTTGAAATGTTAAAGATGAAAATTGTTTAAGATATTTTTTTAAAGAACCCCAAAAAATTCCTGAATGCCTACGAACTTGGCATGGAATCGGAGAATAACAGCGCCTTTTAAAAATATCTTTTACTAAAAAGTTTGACTAAAATGAATGCTTGAATTCTAAAAATTTAGTTTGTTAGTTCAATCAAAAGAAAACTTCTCCTTTTCCAGGATTTGGTTTAAAAATCTGGATTTGAACTTAATTATTTGTATTTTAGCAGCTAAATAATATATTCTCACCCACGCAAAAAAAAAAAAAAATATATATCATGCTACATCTTATAATTTTCTTGTTTTGTAATTTCATGTTTTTTTGTTTTTTTTGCACTTGTTTAATTATAAAAAAAATATATTTTTTTCTTAACTGGATCAAATTGTTTAAAAGGTTTTTTAAAAATTTAAAGCTTCAGCAATGTAGAGAAGTAAATAGCCTAAACATTGCATCCTTTGAGACCAAGGAAAATGAAAATGAGGTACAATTTTCCAATAGTTTTCATGAAAAGGGTAATGTGTATTAATGCCATACAATGAGACAAATGAAAAGTTTGATCTGTAGATGTGGTATTTCATATTTACATTTACTTTGAGGGAAAACACAGCAGTTTTGCTAATTTTGCAAAAACTGAATAGGGAGTTTTTATTTATTCCGTACTCAACTTGATAATAATAAAATAAAACTTAAGTATGTCTCATTGTAAAGCTGATGCCGGGTTAAAGCAAGCTAACATTAGTAAAGTGTTAGGGTTGAAGGCTGGCCTGCCCTAAGCCTAGCTATGCTGGAAAGATTTAAAAAAACATATGTAAAAAAAAAATTGGGTTGAGATTATGCTCCAGAAAAGGGAGTAACTCTGCTGCAGGAAAAAGCAGACTACCTGTGAAAGATTGTCAGGGTTTGGATAGCTGTAGAGTTTGTGAGTCCAGCAATAATGATTGGCATGATCCTGGAAATGCTTCATGGTGTAATTTGCAAGCCAGCAGTCCAGGGGACCTTCTGTGTACTCTTTGAGACCTACAATGATCCCAAAAGCTGCCAACAGGTATACAGTGAAAACATGATGGAGGTGGTCTATTGTGTCATCATCTCTCACAGTCACCTGGATGTTCAGGGACTTGAGCATCCCTATAACCTTCTCCATGGTGATTCAATTTCTCCTGGTGAAAATAAAAAACTATTTTAAGTGGAGGGGTTTAGGAAATACCATTGGTAAGAAAAAGAGCTGTACCTGACTGAGATTATCTTTGTTTGGGTAACGGTAGAGTTTGTGAGTCCAGCAGTACGAATTGACGTGGTCCTGGAAATGCTTCCAGTTGTGTGCAGTGACCCAGCAGTCCAGCGGGGTGCCAGCATATTCCTTAAGGCCAATGATGAGAGCAAACGAGGCAAACATGTAAACAGTCACATAATGGTGAAGTTGGTCAACTGTGTCATCGTCACGAATTTTTTCACGGATCCGGAGATTGGGTAAACTGCTTAATATACTCTCCATTTTCGTACTGAAAAAAAAAACATGTCAGTGTTTTTATGACAAATCCCTTTTTGGATTAAAAACGGCAAATTTACAACATATGAAAACTAAACATTAATTGAAGTTTGTTAAGAAGAATGAATTAAAATTTTTAAATCTCCGCTAAGGCTGATCAATTTCAAAATCAAATAAAAATTTTTTTATATACATACTGGGAAGATACTCAAAGCACATTTTTATATTTTTAATCCATCAAGAAAAGAGAACTTCAAAATATTATTCAGTGAGAGTGTTAAATTTACATTTTCTCTCGTCTGTCAGTATAAAAATTAAATCAATTCTAGTTCACAAGTTTATGGTCGTTTTAATTTAATAAACACAAAAAAAACTAATTAAAAAAAGATGTACATTTATTTAGTTTGCAATTAGGTATTTCCTGAAAATTTTTTTTGTATTTTGTAGCCACATGTATCAGAACGAATGTTACAAATAAATCCAGTAACGGAGATAATTAATCTGTTCAGCAAATTATTATCGCTAAGTACAAAATACGGTCAGAGAATCACAAAAATTGGCTAAAAGTTTTAAAAGCTAACAGAATTTATGTAGTGGTATGAAGAACAAAATCCCATCAAGGTGAGAAAAAGTGTACCCATGCAGCTCAATGATGAAGACCTGAGAAGATTGGCAACTAATCTAAAATTCAGGCAGTCCTATATACACAGGCAGTACAAGCACTTGCCAGGATGGTGGATGCCTGCATCTATGTACCGGTAATCTAATTACATTTCTGTAAACACCCCCCATTATTTGGGTCACAAAAGAAGCTCAAAAGCAAACTGCAAAGACTACTCAATAATTGCATCCAATGATTATTAAAAAAATATTTAACATTTTTTTCTTTACATCAAATATTCTAATCTCAAAATGCTAAAATTCCTAAGAAGACCAATATCAAAAGTTATGTATAAACATGCCATAAATTTCTAAGATGGTCAGCATGCATTTCTAAGTTCACAATTATGAGCACATGATTACATAAATGCAAAAATCATTTCATAAAAGATAAATAGGAATATCAGATTTAGGAAATGTCATTTACAAAGAAGATTCTTAAAGAACTTCATTGAAAATTGCACAAAAAAATGAAGTCTAAATGGTATTTTAGAAAAAAAGCTATTAAAGAAATGTAAAACAATGGAGTTTAAAACTGACTGCCGTTGACTTCATAATTGGCAATAACGAGTTGGTTCATAAACTCTTAACATGAATTATTTTAATACAGAATGGATTACTTGAAGTATTATACTAATTATGTGAAGAACAAACACGTGTGTACTGGGTAGCCTTCTCTTGATTGATTTTAGATGAGCAAAATAAAAAAAAAATGACTCAACACATTCAAGAGATTGAACACCTAGAAATCACTGAGACGACTTATTGGTTTAATCAGATGATGGATAGTTAAACTTGATAGGTCTAAGTATATGACTTCCTTCCTGTATGAGACAGTCTGTATCTTCATTGTCTCAACCCATGAAAGTCCTTATCTTCCTTAGGAAATGAGTAAAACAAAGTATGGTTAGACCTGAAATTTAATTATTTGTTTTATTGCGTTCCTTTTTTCAGGTTTAACCATACTTTAAAAATAATTATTATTATTATTTTTTTTTTTTTTTTACTCATTTCCAATTTTGCTAACCTTATTAGGTTCTTTTCCCTTATTACCATCTTATCTTCCTTAGCTTTATTATACCTGAAATTTAATTATTTTTTTTATTTCGTTCCTTTTTTCATGTTTAACCATACTTTAAAAATAATTATTATTATTATTTTTTTTTTTTTTTTACTCATTTCCAATTTTGCTAACCTGATTAGGTTCTCTCCCCTTATTACCATCTTATCTTCCTTAGCTTTTATAAGCTCATCAGTTTATTGAACATTTTTAACAACAAAATATTTTGGTTTTCATATAAAATTGTAAGCTAGTGTTGACGACTGCAAAAAATATGTAGTTTTCGTAAAATAACTCAGGCTATACATAAATAAATCTGAAAATTGTAAACCTAGAGAACAAGGTAGTTCTTAGAGAACAAGGTAGTTCTCTCTGTGTTCTTGTCTTACCGAATGACAGAAACAATACAAAAAAATATTAATTTATTATCGAGTCACATGAATTAAATTCATTCTTAAAAATATTTATTAATAGATATGTTCCAAATAAAGTCTCCCCTATTTTAACAAAATCAAATTTAAAAGGTGCCTCAGCTTTCGAACTGCTTTACACACAACATTTTTGAGATACAAACTTTCTTCATATCCCATTCTGACCTCTACATACCAACTAGATTCGAGATATGAAAAGCTTTGCATGCAAGCCATACTTGTGGCGTTTGTTGTTACTACATTGCATTTATCTGAAATATGATGCAACGATTGGTGTGAGCTATGCACGCTGCATGTAAATAATTGCTTTTTGGTTTATCTCTTCCTGTAGAAATGTAATCAAACAATACAATGAGTGAAGAGATTTTTAGTGTTGTATTAAATATGTGTTCTGCATGTGTATATTTCTTTTTGTGATGTCTATGGACAGGATTTTTTAAAAACTAATATGTATCATGTAACTAAAATTTTTATAAATTAAAATGTGTAAAGGTATAAGTTACATAATTTATTTTTGTTGCCTTTGTACTTTTGTAACCACAATCTGGAATGGATTAAGCTCGTAAGTCGAGGTTTCGCTGAACTAGTTCTTTTGTATTAAAATAAAATGCTTAACAAAGAAGAAAATAATAACTTGCCAGAATCATAGTTTTGGGCTAAACAATAATTGTAATAGTTCTGGGGTTAAAACATTTTATACAAAAATAAGATACAGACAAGGAAGTGGTAGAAATATTTGAAATAAAAGGGTAAATAGATATTATGAAAAACTTTTTCTACATCGACATGGTATATCATCAATAACTGAATAATCATAAATTTCACTGTGAAACTCAGGGAAAGGAACAGCAATTGAAACAACATTGAAAAGGAAATATAAAGTATGAATAAAATTTAATAAGAAAGAGTCGTAGCTAAATAGCCTATACTATATACCTATTTTATAATTATATTTTAGTGTGGTTCTGGCATGCCTGTAAACTGTAAGTGCAACAAAATGTTATTTTCACACAAATCTATCACATTTCTCAACTGATATGCAATGAATATGACAAAGACTCAACCTGATCCTATTGGTGCATAAAACTGCCATGCATTTTTTAAAAACTACATGCCCTGCTAATAGACCAATACCTGTCCATAATCAGCTCAAATATTAACCCACACAAACACACATAATCTCATGTTATGAGTATTTTCTATGCAGAAAGCCACCTTCAAACTGGTAAAGAAAATATTCTTCAAAAACCAACTTCATTGTAGTGCTGATATAGTTTGTATCTTATCCTGGGGTGAGGAATGCAGCTTGGCACAGCACTTTGTAAAGAGCTATCTTTTGTAGCTAAAGATGCAGAAAACAAGTGTAAATACAACATTGAACAATATTGCTAAATATGGATTTAAATCCCGGGCACGTAAGCTTAGATATTGAAAATAAATGTAATACTCGTGCCAAAAGTTAATCTTACATAACAACATGCGTAAATAAGCGTACAAGTTACAAACAATAGACACAGATTTTTACTTTAAAACAACTCTATTTTTCAATGTGGTTTTTACTAGGGCACTTTGCATGCTAAAATGTATCTCTCCTGTTATTGTAAGATATCTCCATTAGAAATGACAGCATCTTAAAAATACTAATTGTCTATATTGTAAAAAAAAAAAAGTCGTGTATGTGCGCTGAATGCACAGCTAAATATGTAAGAAGTCCTCCCACAACAAACAAACTCTGAGGCAAGTTGAAGACAAGATTTTTAAGAGGGATCCTTTAAAAACAAACATGGCAAAATAACGTACTGGTTATTTCAATACAATTACAGGCCATGTAGTACTCACAAATCTGAAAGTCAAAACAGAGCCGTACTTATAGATTTAACTTTTTTTTAACTTTGGGGTAGGGAGAAATGTGGCAAATATTAGAGCAAAGCTCATTGATAAACTGCTCAACGCATACCAGCCTTACAAGCTATGTTTAGATTGATGCTCATAGAACAGACCAGTGTTTCTCAAATGGTGGCCCATGGACTGGTGCAGGCCTGCAAGCCTTATGCTACCGGTCCGCACAACATTTAAGGTCGAATAAAAAGAAAATATAATTAATAAATCTGTTACCAGTCCCTGATGCAATTTCAAAACATGTGCACTAGTCTGCCATATTTAAAAAAGTTTTGGAAACACTGCAATTGACCACTTAGCATGGCCTGGAGTGCCTTTAAAACCACAGACACTTCTTGGCAATATGAAAGCACAGCTTTGCCAAATTTTGAACAAATACAAACCAACAATCAATAATTTAAAGATGACAATGATTAGTTTGAGAAAATCACTAAAAACATAACTGATGCTCTCTCTCTCTTTCGACTGACATTTATAGCTATTGAGATCAAAATTCTTAGTGTTACAACTGTGGCACCTGGTCTACAGACTCCAGTGAGTATTACAGTAATATATTTAACTATATAAAGTTTTAAAAATTTAGATGAAAGTCTAATACACATTTCTGAATTCAATAAATATTGCTGATCTCTATGTCTGTGTGTATTATTTATTTACTTGTACATTTATTCTAACAATGAAGCATCATGATCATTTCCAATTTCTGTAACTTTACGAGTTATCGAAATATATATAATGAGAAATACATATACATTTAATATTAATATCAAATATTAATTAGTTTTAATAGGCTTTGATACTTTAAGTAGAGCTTATACATTATATTGACATCTGTTTTTTATGGTTCAAAATTTAAAATCTGTAGCATATTAGGGAATTGGTACACATTTTCAGATATATAATTGACTTTCAGATTTATTTATGAAGTGAAAACAGATTAATATTTAAATAACTGCATAATTATAATTCTTACATAAATTTATAAGCCAGTGTTAGTGAAAACATTTTTGGTTGAATCTGTAGGCTGTCATAAAAATTTCAATATCTACACAATGTATTATTGTGGGTCCATCTATTGGCCTCTTAACAAAAGACTGTTGATAAAAACAATCAAACCCAGGCAGATGCTTACATCATGGCAGTATGTGTGTAAGCAGATGATAACAGATCATATCAATGCCTGATGAGCATTAGTAGCAAAATTAAATCCAGGACTTGGTCTATATTGATATAATTATTTAGGACATAGAACTTAAAATCAAGACACAATTAATTTCTTGGTTATTGACAATGAAATTGGTGAAAATGCATCTTAAAAATATGATGTTATGTTTGTAAATTCTAATGTAAAAGTTATCATTAATCAAGTTTCTTGATTCTCTCATGTAAGAGCAGGCAGTTACATTTTTAAAAAATTTAAACTATTTTAAGCCCAGTGTATAGACAAAACTAGGTTGTCTTATCTTAGGTCAGCTATCAGTCAACTTGACTCCTCCCATTCTGTACTTGACAGTTGAGAAATATCCCCTCACAACAAAGAAGCCACACTTCTTATTTTCAAGTAGTAAACACAGATAACAAAAATATAGGCCTTACACAGTGCATTAAGAATCAGCAGAAAGCAATGGGTTTAGTACAAACATGTTTCATGGGTGTTACAAAGGAGATGATGCATGAAATGAATTTAGAGTGTGTTCTAAATTTAGAATTTAAGAAAATAATTAAATGAAACCAGTTGCACAGCTAAATGGGAACGGGTACATGTGGGGGGAAAAGAAGGATATTGCTCAGGTCTTAGTTGTTGAAAATCAGTTTATGCACTTAAATTAGGTTAGTTACCTGTAACATTCTTTTTATGAATTATTTCAAAGAAATGTTTGACTTTTTCCCTAAAACTAAATTACATGTTAGTTTGTCAAGCAGGTTCATTTATTTAAAAAGCTTGCTATGTGAATTATTTGAAAATTTCTAAAGAAGTATTTACACTTAGCTAAGGCTAAGATAAGATTATTTCATTGATACAAACAATTGGACTTTTTGTGTGATTACATTGCCTTTGTACATATTCATTTTAAGCATATTTAAAAAACAACAACCCAGGCAGCAAAAACATTCTAATGTAACAGAACAATTTTCAATTGGTGCACGAAAGTCAGAAGTAAATATTACTCAAAAAATATTTTAGCTTGCTCTCTCCCTTCTCCATAACCAAAATTTCTTAATGCACAAAAACATTGGAGACAATGACAATTAATTAATTCAAATTTGAGTTTTGTTTAAATATAAAGGCGCTCTCCCCCCCCCCCCCCGCCCCCCGTTTTCCCCCCCCCACTGTCTAAAGCAGCCCCGCCCAACCCGAAATGAAAAACAGGCCGTAATTCTTTATGAAATACTTGTGCGGGCCAAAAGAAAATAAAAAAAAAAGGGGGGGGGGGGGAGCCAATTAAGAAAATAATAAAGAATATTTCGTTACTTCACGGGCCGCAAAGTGGAAGCTGGTGCGTCACATGAGGCCTGTGGGCCGTATGTTATGCAGGCCTGGTCTAAAGTAATAATTTAATTACCAATATAAACCGGACTAGGCATAATTTTTAATTACATGTTATACGAGATAGATTTGCCCTATTTTCCAAGAACTGACGGGCCGCAAAGTGGAAGCTGGTGCGTCACATGAGGCCTGTGGGCCGTATGTTATGCAGGACTGGTCTAAAGTAATAATTTAATTACCAATATAAACCGGACTAGGCATAATTTTTAATTACATGTTATACGAGATAGATTTGCCCTATTTTCCAAGAACTGACCCCCAATTGAGGTTGTAGTTTTAGAGAGGTGGAGGGCTTGCTGTTGGTCATATTCATAAATATACAGCAGGTTTAAGCAATAATTTTAACACTGATCAGTTCTCTCTGGTGCATTGCATCTTGAGGTGGATTTATTGACTCATTGAAATTTTTGGATCAATCCCTGGCTTGTAGACTTGGACAAGAGAACAGAGAATCGTCCCATTGATTTCATTGATTGAGCCGAGGCAACTGCTTCTTAGTAATCTAAGTCAGGCCTCTGCTCACTCTAAGTCTAATAAAATCCATTAAATTAGGAACTCATCCATGTCAGCTAATGTTTGCTTAACTTAACTAGGAGAACTTAACTAGGAGAAGTTAAGCAGCCAAGTAAACCAAGTTCTGAGTAACACAATGCACATTATAAGACTTGTTTATCACTTAAAATTCATTTGTTAATTTTACCATTATTATTAATATTTATTATCTCTTGCATGCCATTATCATACAAATGAATCACTAAGCTTGCCTCATGAAATGTTAAATTATTTGCCCAAGTTGCCTACACATTTGTGATTTAAAATCAAATAAACGTGTGAGTGTGGCACAAATTGTGCTACTGTCAGTGGGCCACTGTCATACTGTTTCATTTTGTCACAAACACTGAACAGCCAGAGAACAATGTTTCAAGTCAATCATGAGTCATCTCAGTGTATAATGTATAAATTTTGGGTGTTTTTCTGTTCATCGTGCCATCATACCATACTCTTCTCATACTAAATGTCAATGTCATAAGGAAAATGTCAATATATTTAATTAGGTCTAATATATAGATTAAGTTTAAGTGCAATAATCAATAATGACATAATGATAATGTTAAGTTTTTTAAAGATAAATTAGACTAGATTCGAACTAAAAAGCCAATGAAATGATCATCTTATTATTATTAAAAATATTTCCATACAATTACTTAAATTATGCGAGCCTGCGGCCTACATAAGCTAAAATGTAAAAAAAAACTAGGCCTAGTAGTACTACGACTAGTAGCAGTAGTGTGCAGGCCCAACTAGGTCACGGAAATGTATTTTATCTTTACGTAAACTGACTTAGTCACCAAGTTAGTGCTAGGCCCATCAATTAAGTTTTATTAATGCATTATTTTAAGTAGGTAAATAAAAACGTTCATGTTTTAAAAATTGGAAAACACTTACCCTGATACAGGCTTTCTATTACCACCCTCGCCTCCGCCTCCGGTCGTATCTCCCACTTCTCCCAGTCCCAGTGCTGGATTTTAAACTAAGCCAACAATAAATAGACCATTTGGCCCATGGATGGGTGGCTGCTGGCTCTACGGTTTGTCTATTGCCATCACCGCCGAGTCGACGATGTGCTATTATTACACGGACGCAGTTTGCATAATTACTCGATCAAATCAAATAATTTTTAATATGAATAGAAACAAACAACAACACTGTCTTTAAACATAAATTAACATTTAAAAACAGACAAGAATATATATAAAAAAACAACAACTTTGGACCTATTTTTAATGCCAGTGGTCAGTGGCCAGACACAATCTCATAGTATGAGATTGTGTCTGGCCACTCAGGGAATAAAAAAGAGGATAACATTCATATGCCTATATACTGTGTAGAATGCAGATACCCCCCCCCCCCATGCCAAATGGCTTTTCTGACAGTTTGGAAATGTCGATGCCGTTATTATGAGTCATAGTCATGAATCATAGAAATAGAGTGAATCTGAAATCAGGGATATCATCATAAAGTTATAGTATAGCCATGTACAGATCACATAGGCCCCCTAAAGTTATAGTATAGCCATGTACATATCACATAGGCCCCCTAAAGTTATAGTATAGCCATGTAAAGATCACATAGGCCCCCTAAAGTTATAGTATAGCCATGTACAGATCACATAGGCATAGGCCCCCTAAAGTTATAGTATAGCCATGTACAGATCACATAGGCATAGGCCCCCTAAAGTTATAGTATAGCGGTAGCCATCCATTTTCAACGGGATAAATTTATTGCTCGCCTTCTTGAANGGGGGGGGGGGGGGGGGCTGGTTTGTTACATCATTTGACGACAGCGAGGAGATCAAAGTCGGGTCAACTAGTTCAAGAACGTGAGTTCCTACTCTCCCCCCCCCCCCACACACACACTCACACACTAAATACTTGTCCTGCTGTTTTGTTCGGAAATAGGCGTTGTCTCTTGACGTGACGTCATAATTGCGCGCGTGTGTAAGTGAGCAACTCGACACGATCCTAATATTAAATATAACATTTATTTATGTCAATGTAAACGGACGGCACAGCGTCATCGCACTATTAAACACATGGGACAATGGAGAGAAACGTTCTCCGCAAAATATGTGGACCAACAAAGGATGACCAGGCTCAATATGGATACACGGATGAAGAATACGAACCAATCAGGAATGGTATAATCTATATCAGGATCCCACGCTAGTAGTAGAAATGAAAAGGGGCCGACTACGCCCATGTGGACACTTCAAAAGAGGGCCACATGACAGAGGAGTAAAGAGGGTGCACACCCAAAACTCCAGAGGAAAACAGCTCAAAGGCAGACCTACGCTTAGATGGATGGATGATGTGTTTTTTTTTTTTTGGTTTTTTTTTTGGGGGGGGGGGGGTTTTATATTTTGAGAGGGTTGTAATATTTTGGATGGCGTTTTACATAATAAGACAGAGAAGTAGCTAGAGTGTAAGTGTTAGGCGCCCTGGGATCAGATTAATTTTTAACCCCCCCCCCCACATAACTCTGAAACCCATTATTTTCATTAAAAATATCATAGACATATTGACCTCACTGCCCAAAGGCCTACGCCTATGTAATAAATGGAACACTGGTAAATAGTGTTACAAAAATTATTTCTTTATTTGTGACTGGCAGTGGTATTTTGTGTGGGTGGGGGGGTGGTATTAGTGGGGGGTGGTGGTGTTGCAGACTAGAATATTTGTACCAGTCACACGTTGGTGGAAGTTTTCTATGATGAATGTGCTATTTATAGCAAGCAGAGGTACGACAGTTATTGACATATGCTTTAAATGGAGATAAAATCATACAAAGGGGGTGAGATGAAATAGAAAAAAAAACAAAAACAACAACTTCACATTCGAAATGCACACAACCCAAGCACTAACGATCATAATTAAATTTGATTAGCTAGTGTCAGACACCCTTCAGGCAGTGGCGTATCCAGGGTTAATGCTGATGTCACCCGGGATGGGCCAAACTCACTGCCCCTCCCCCCCCGCCCCCCACGAACCAAATCTCTGCGGTTGGCACCCCGGTTCTAAGCGTTGACTTAATCATTCTATTCAATGTCCAT